GGACATAGGAAATCGACTTGTAAGACAGCAAAGTAATAGGTATTTCATTTGGAAGTGTGTTATCGATGGCAGACTTACTTCCGCAGATACCAAAAGAAGTCTACTTTCTCCATTCCCATAAAAGCAACTCCAGCTGCAGAGCCAATAACTAACATGGAGCCACCGGTGCCAGCACAATATGCAATCAATTGCCAAAATTCAGAATCTTGAGGAAAAGAGGTGAGATCATACATGCCCATTGTTGCTGCAACCAATGGAACATTGTCTATAATTGCTGATACAACCCCCACAGCACTTGCAATTAGTTCCGTGTTGGGAATATGAGCATCGAGATAATTTGCTAATTCCCGGAGAATCCCTGCTGCCTCCAGACTAGAAAACAAGGATTTGAGTATGTCAAAATGGGAAGGATATGACAATGACTTCACTCCTGAACTACAATTTATATCAAACTTTAAAGAGTTATGCAGAAGTTTCAAATAGAATTCCAGAATCCGTTCAATTTGAAATGGGAATCAACAAGGGCAACTTATTTTCTTCGACCTACTGAGTAGTGATGAGGTTTGGAAGGAGAAGGTTAATAGGTTAATAATTGCTCACCATATTGAACAGAAGTGTTTGCCCTAGATTATCACAGCAAATAAGAACTTCTATGTATTTAGACAAGTGTCTATATGGGGAACTTAAAAGAGAGAGACTAGGTCTTTACTACTCTGGGATTGAGAACAATGATCATATTCATTAAATAATGGATGAAATTTTAAAGACAAAAAACCCAATCTTTTTACTTCGGAAAGATGGGTAAGAAAAAGGCCAGTCTTAATAAGCCTTTCACCATGCAGACTTGATAACTGTAGGAATAAAATAGAACCAAGAAGGTTCTTTTGACATAGCAAAAATGAAATTAAAATTTGAAGGTCTCAAGTCTGTACCTGCTGACAGACAACAAGATTCCGAGGAAGAACAGAGCTCCTTGAGTGTCAATCCGAGATAAAGCCTGTGGTACTTTCAACTTTTGCCTTTCTGATTCACCATAATGGATAGCATCTGTCAGAATCCAAAGTACACCGAGTCCTAGCAGCATGCCCATGTAAGGAGGCAATCCAGTGAGGGCCTTGAACACCGGAACAAAAATCAGTGCTCCAATACCCACAGAGAAGACAAGCTGTCCTCGAGGTGCCATCTGTTCAGATGCCAAAACATCGCCAGAGTCCTGTCCCTTGCCATTGACTTCACTGAATGAGGGCAGAGAAACTTGCATCATTTTATCCATAATCCAGAAAACTAAACATAACTTTCAAAATTCAAATTCCGTGACTCTCTGATAATGCAAGGGTACCTAGTCAAGGACATAAGAGCCAGTGGGACAGCAAGAGAAACAGCAGATGGTACAATCAAGTCCTGTAAGAAAGAAAACTCTCAGGTATTGGAACTCTTTCCTTGATTTCAGTACAGTGCAAAAACTTTCTCCAATAAGTTTTAACATAAAATATAATCCTTGTCAATGTGAATTCTGTCCTACCTATGGGGTCTAACCGTCCAGATAACCAAGCCAAAATAGANAGTATATTTAGACATAATTAAGAGCACTGACACATTTCTTACCAACAGTAGAACTATTACCTTGATCTGTTGGCCAATTTTGTATGCACAATTATAAAAATGCACAAGGGAATCTCCTCCACATATATATATATTTGTATATCAGTTACAAATATGTATCAGCAAGTGCTGAAACAGTAAATCTGATATATCACACGGTCATTATGAAGAAATTACCTTCATTGTTGGCAAAGTGGATATCTGGCCATGAATCCATAACATAGTGGTGGTGACATCACCAATCGGAGTCCATGCACCACCAGCATTTGCTGCAATCACAACTACAGCTCCTAAAATCCTGCAAAGAATCCAAATATATAACTAAGAGTTACTGAGATTATCCAATTATTCTTACTTTTTTAAAGGGAAAAAAATCTTTCTTTTTTGGAGAATAAAATTAGAAGATACAGATTCAAACACTATCTGAAAAGAATCTTCAGGTGTACTATGTCCAACCATATCATACATGCCACAAATCACTACATAACTATGACAAGGGGAAGAATTCAGTGAAAGAGAGGACGCCAAATTGGTAAAAACTCCAGCCACATGATTGGTCAGTTTTAATGAAGGAATCTGCTGTAGACTCTGTTGTATGTCCTAATTGCTTCCTGTTTTGATAGACTTACCTATAAAATTCAAATTGCCTGGAAAAGAAGCCTAACTTTCTACATCATCATGGTAATGATCAACTTTGCTTCAGATAGACATATTGTTGACAACGTTGAAAGATGAACTCTTCGTATGACCTTAGGAACTTCTATACATGATAACAGATTTAGGAAGATACTCAATCATAAGGAAATATGCCAACGTGCAAAGACATACTTGCGGTATTCTGATGGAGGAACTAGCTTCCTCAGTAAAGAAACCATGACGATTGTAGAAGTCAAGTTGTCCAGTACTGAACTGAGGAAGAAAGTTATAAAGCCAACCTGCAATTCTAAAATCAAGTCAAACAAAGTTGATAATATTCTAATAGGACAGGTGGTACAACACACAAGACACACAAAATCAAATCAATAAACTATCTAGAAACCAAAAATCTTAACCACAATGAAAGTATATAGAGTTCTCCACGTCTTCTGTAATTTTTTAGTTCATATTGGCTTTAAATAAAGAAAAACAAACAAGATCAGTCAAACATCATATTTGATTCACCAGAGGAGGACAAAAGAAGAAAAAAGAAAAAAACCAGGATGGGGCATTCAGAGCCTAAAAAAATTCTTTTGCCAAATGCCTGGCTACAACTTAACTTACAACTATGTCCAACATAAACAAGAGTTTAGAAAAAAGGTTTTCCTTCTTCCTAAAAATTTATTCCTGAACCAACTGCTCTCAGTCTACCCAGATTGGGATCCATTTAACATAACATTTAGTCAACGTTTAACAGAAAAAACTTCTTATTCAGGAAAGAAACATTAGACAGATAAAAGATTATTTCAGATCTTTTCCTTTTTTGTCAATAATACATATTATCTATTTAAGACAGAGCACATAAGATTGCCTTCTTCATTGTGTTTACTGTCAAGAATGCATATAATCTATTTAAGAGAGGACATATTTTATTCTGTTTGATCTTAATCCAGCCGCAATTTTTGATAGATCGAACAGCTGAATGAAGGGATTTGTCCATATGAATTTGATGGCAGAAACAGAGAACTAACCACCCATAATAGAGTCCTTGGTTTTCGAGTGGTTATATTGTCTGTAACCAGCTTAAACCCTTGATGGGCATCAACAATCTCAACAATAGTCATTGCACCAAGCAAGAAAAAAACTATTTCACTAACTTCTGCAGATGCATGTGTCAACTCCGAAACAGCAATATCAGTTGAAGGAGCCTGCAAAAATCAAACAGAATCATCCTTCAGATAAATAAATCTGCATTCCACAAGTGTAGATCTGGAAGCACTTCAACAGAAGTAGATGTAACAGCAGTTGATCAAAGTGGGAGAGAGACTTAAAATCATGATTTTACAGGCTGAAATCTCATACAAATGAGCAGGATCACTATCAATCTCCAGTAGTAATGCCACACAACATATTTAATTATGATGCTGCTTATGATTGACACCTGCTAACAAGAAGGCCAGATCCCCATAACAGAATCACTCCTGATAGCAAAATTTTTCTTCTTTCTGCCCATCCCCTCCCAAAAAAACAGACGTAGGGTTGCAAAAACTAACGGTCTCAATACCAAAATGAAGAAAGAAAATAAACAAGAAGCATAATATCATATCAAAGAACCATTCTTCTTTCTTACCCCAATGCTTCGCACTACCCACAAGCTTACAGCCATCAATAATCCTACTCCACTTTTATTGAAGGCTAGAGACTCTTCAAAGATGATTCCTGCATACCCTATTCCAAACAATAATGCCATGGCAAGATCCTGCAAACATGAGGTTTTAGTCAAATCAATAGGTTGTTATACATTTGATGATGTGAATGAACTTTTCCTCCTCCAAGACATGGAGTCCTGAAATAGAAAGAAGTGAGAAACATGATAAATAAAACCTGATTGGCAGCAACCCAGGAATGGTTAATTGCCACTGTCCCTGTAGCAGCAGCCGCAAAAATAGCTATAGCTTTCACTAAATCAGTCTTTGGCTGGTAATTGGCTTCAAAATCGCTTGAGCTCGTTTCATCAACTGAACATAAAGGATCACATGATCCAGATGATGATGTCAACTCCTGTTAATAGACTAAAGGTCAATAAAAAATGTAATCAATTAGATGAAATTGCCTGATTATTCTCTTAAATTAGAGTCATGGCAGTTAATTATCATCCCTTCAGTGCTTTGAAGAATTGTTTCTGCTTGCTAATTGCAATTAATGACCGACAAGAAGAAGCACACACACACACACATGTATATATATATAAAGGAAAAGAAAAAGTCATTTCCAATGAGAAAATCCATTCTGGTACATCATAATCCATAAATGAACTCAATTATCTGCAGAAACTGTTCCATACAATCCAAAAAGTAAGACACAAAAACCCTAAAGTTCTGATTCCACCAAATATAGGTACACAATTAATCACCAACCAATAATGCAAATAATCCCCCAAACATAAAATTTTCAAAGATAACAAGATTAAGGAGGATCCAAAGCTTATACATTCAGAAACAGCAACCCATAATCAAATTCAAATTTCACATTTTCATGAAGATGGAATAGGGGTACTCCTAAAAATCGAAACTTCACAATTTTCTTTCAGGAAAAGTTCTGGGAAAAAAATAGAGTTCTTCAGTCTCATGCATATAAAATATACTCGGAGATAAATTAACGAAAGTAGCAAAAGAAACAGAGAGTGTTCTTCCGAATTGAAAGTTGCAAAGAAGATAATAATAAAAATTTCAACCTGGAGTTGCTTCTCATTGGTCGATTGACGAGATGGAAGAGGAGAAGAAGAGCCTTTTGCCTCGTTCTCAGCTCTAGCAAGAATCCCATGTCGGAGCAACCTTGGCCCTCTGATTTTACACAGAGACGACCTCGAGCTAGGGAAGGATTGGATAGAGGGTAAGGAAACTGGAGGTGGGTAGGAAAATGCCCGTCTCCTCGGCTCGCGGGAAGAAGACAGGTGAGACCCAATTGATAAGGCCGCCATTGGAGAAGTGAGGCAGATGGAACGAGATAGTTTGTCGATAAACTGGGCAGGTATGTAAGGTTGAAGAAGGAGCAGAGAAGGGAGTATGTAATACACTCTGTTATTTGTGCTTAGCCGGTGTAATTCGTGGTTCCAAGTTGCATGGAGAAAAGGATTGAAGAGATGGAAATTGCCATTTACAGAGTCCAAAGTGGTGGAGAAGCAAATGGAGATTGGGAAAAGTTAGCACCTTTTGGGATTTTCTTCTTCAAACTCTGTTCTTCTAATCTTGATAAATTTTTTTTTTTTTTTTAATACTAATAACATTTTAATTTTTTTTAAATATATATATATATATTATTCATATATAAAACTAAGAACAGCCAAGATAATAATTAATATATATTATTATATTAATAAAATTTTTCACAATACATGAAAACTTAATTGTATTTTTTAATTACCATTTGACTATAATTTTAAGTCTATTATTTATTCTCACATTTTTATTTTATTATTTTTTATGCCTTTAATTTTTTTAGTAAATATAAATAAATTGTAACACCCCAACCTTTTTCTTTTCTTTTATTATTATTATTATTATTTTATTTTAATTTTTTAAAATTATTATATGAAAATAATAATTTATTATGTAATAATATATGGTTTGAATTTAATTTAATTTATTTAAATAATAATAAGTGGTAAAATTATTTAGGAATTTAATTGAAAATAATTTTGAAAAAAATGGTGAAAATTTATATTCTTGGAATATTTTTGAAAGGAAAATTAAAAATTGGGGGTCAAAACACAATTTAGAAAAATTGTGCCATGGCAGCAGCCCCAGCCAACCAGGACACGCTGCGTGGCAGAGACGCTAACGCGGGAGGCCACGCGGAAGGGAGCTACGTGGGCGATCTACGTGCACGCGATCGAACAGCTGAGATCCGTTCCCGAGCGCACGGACGGTCCAGATAAAAAACGCGCATGGATGGCCCAGATTGCACGTGTACGGACGGCTCAGATTGAATCGCGCACGGACGGCGCAGATCGTATTGCGATGAACGGCCCAGATTCATTTCCTATTTAATCGCGATTGGACGACCCATATTGAATTGCAATGGACGGCTCAGATTAAAAGCGGATGGTTATAAATAATCTCATCCGGACCCAAACCCTAACCCTAGCCGCCAGAGCCCCTCGCCGGAGAAGACAGCCCAGCCGCCGGGGAGCCAGCCACCGCCACTCGCTGCCGCACCGGAGCAATTTTCTGGTCGCCAAATGAGGTAAAAATTCTCCTATTGGCTCAGAATTCGATGCTGAACCCACCTATAGCCAAATCGGAGCAAAAACACTGGCCAATTAGCCGAAAAATGCCGCCGCTAGTTTTCTCGATTTTTACCTCCGATGAGGCTCTTCCTGATTCTCATTCGATGTAATTTTTTCACCATTGTGACCACCGTTCCCTCCTCTACAGGTTGACCGGAGTAAAACACTAAATCGCGACTCGAGCCAAAGTAGCCGCCGCACCGGAGAGCCCCGCCGCCGGTAAGTTTCGATTTTCGGTATTTTTTTCGGCCCACCGAGGGCTTTAGGGGTGTTTTCTCACAGGAACCAATATAAGTTTGGCTGAATTCGGCTAAAAACGGCCGAAAACAACCAACCTAAGGCGGATCGCCACCGCTCGCAGCGGCACCGTTGCCGGAGCACGGCGGAGCCGCCGTGCCAGAATTCTGAAATTGGTTGAATAGGCCTTGGGTCTGATTTTTGAGTTATTTGGGACATGTATAGGTACCGTAAGCGCGTTTTAATTTCCGGAAAAAAGATTTAGGGAATCTAGGGACTGCCCGCAGGAGCAGTGAAATTTCAATTTTCGACGTCGAATTAAGTAAAGACCCCTCACTGTATTTCCTATCAAGGGATTAAAGTTTAATAAATGATAAAACTGTATTTGTATAAATTAAATAGATATGCATAATTTATTACGATTACTAATTGAGCCCGAACCGGACATATTTCTATGTCAGTTCCTGTTTGATTTATTTTACAGTTTAAATGCAGTATAATATCTGATTTAATTATTATATGGTTTTTAAATGCATGACTTTGTGAATCTAATGATATGTTTGTCTTGTTGGATGCTCGTTGATTGCTTTAGTATTCATGTTTATGTGGGAAACAGGAAACTAAAAAAAAAATAGGAAAGAGGTGTGAATTGATGAATGGATAAGTTGACAGTCTCACTAGATATCTTAGGAGATGGTGGACGGACCGGGTCCATAGGGAATCCTACTGGGAACGTTGTCTCATACCGGATAGGGTATTAAGGCTTTAAATATTTTGACACTTATATCGGACGGGGTATGGGGACGGCCCGCTTCACCCTCATACTGGACGGCGTATTGAGGTTTATTGTTTGGCGTCCATACAAGACGAGGTATAGGAATAACCCTGAAAATTAAGTTTGTTAAGGGAAGGGTTCACGTGTAGCGGGGACCCCTATGAATCCCCATGGATACTAGTAGGCTGATGAAAAGGGGGCAACTATTGTTTGATGAGTGAAATATAAAAGTATGACATGTGCTATGTTACAGATTATATATGAATTCATTATATCTATGATGTTGTTGTTTCTATAAGTTGTTTTTATAAATCACACTGAGGTAAGTGGACGGTAAATGGTTTGATTATTGATAAATGAATCTATTCAAATTTTGTGCTCAATTAGTTGTTTTTGGTTTTCTATCAGCCTTTACTTCTGTGATAGTGATATAGTGTGATGTCTTTATTGGCCTAGTGTAGCTCATTCCTTACTTAACCATTTCAGATCAGGAGGACTTGGTTCCTGAGCTCGATCCACGAGAAGATGGCGAATAGATACCTAGATGTTTATTAGTTTCTTTATAGTCTTTCGTTTCTAGTATTTCATTTAGATAACTTATTTTTTAATATTATTAGTACGTTTAAGTTAATGTGTAAGGGATATTAATCAAAACCTTTTATTTCGCTTTCACACTCATATTCTTTATATACATTTTCTTTTAAATTTGCGGGGTCATTACATAAATTGAATTTTTATCTCATTTTAACTAATTCACTATAATTAAATTTAACTTAATTCTTATAATAATAAATTAAGTTATCAATATTATTGAATCAAATATTATAAATCAATCACTATTAATTTATATTATAGTCGCATATATGACAAGATTTGTATCATAAATAAAGTTTAAATTCGTAATCTTCGTACGAAATATACAAATTTTAACAACTAACTCATTGTCTCGACGATTCTTACTTTAGTTAATAAATTAATTTTTAAATTTTGTAATTTTTATATTTTCTTAATAAATTAACAAAGCTTTTAAATAGTTAGGAGAATATAATTTTATTATATATATTTTTTGAAAATTATATGAAAATATTAAAATAATTATAACATCATAAATCAAAGAAATGACGAATAAGACTATATTAAAATTGAAGTAAAATTTAATTTATTTAATTCAATATATGTATATAATTATTGTGCAACCTTTTAAATATCCTTAAATTCATTGCAATTTATTCTTTATTACATAAAATAAAAACAATATTTATTTATTTTATTTTATTTTATTTTTTTAACGCATAATTATATATTATTTTATTAATTTTTATCATTTGATGTTTATTAAAAAAAATTAATCTGAAATTGCTGTGGATAATAATATGACAGCCCCGGATTCACAAAGAGTCACCGCTACAGTCCCAGATAAGGACACGTGTCCGTCTGGGAGACATACGTAGTCTCCCTCCCTGCTCACCAACCCAGGTGATTTTATCATTCACGTCATCAGAGAAGATATGATAAACTCAAACATTGTGAGGTGGTGTTGCGCCATTTCCAACAGCTCCCAACCAAACATGGCCTTGGCTAGTGTCTCCGCCTCCCTCGCCTTCTCCGTTCATGGTACTCTCTCTTATATCTATACGTGTATGTATATAGATAGACACATGTATATACACATAATCAGAGACATACTTTTATACTGACATGGATATATATATATATATATATATATATATGGGAATTCTAACTTCTGTTTTGCAGATAATCACGTTATCAACCCAGGAAGAACCCTAGCCACTTCTAGAACATCAGCTCGAAATTTTGCTCTTAGTGGAACTACGTTTGCTTCTGGTTCTCCTCTGTGTAAGGAATTTGCTCTCTGTATTTGGATTAAGTTTGTCTTCCTCGCATGTTGGATTAAATTTGAGTTAGAAGTAAAGAAAATGGCATAAAATTTGTGGGTAAATGTGCGAAAATTGTTGATTATCTGCTACACTTAAGAACTTGCTCTATTCTGTGTAAGGAACTTGCTTTAAAAATCGCATCCAAATTGACTAGGGAATTCCAGGTGAAATAACAATGCATTAGGAATTCCATAAATTTCATAAGTTTTGATGAAATTTGGAATCTATTGTTTTAGTTTCAAATAGAATATCGTAGAAGTTAATTTTTGGATATTCATCTTCTTCCAATTGAATTGAGCTAAGTGTGGACTTCCAGATGAATTTCACAGAAACTTTTTTTTTTTTTTTTTTTTTCATATATAGCCTAAAGTTGTGTTTAGAAATGAAAAAAATGGCATATAAATTATGGGAATGTTGTGAAAATTTCTGTTGCTTTGGAACTTGCTCTTTTTCTTTGTAAGGGACATGCTCTCTCTCTCTCTCTCTCTCTCTCTCTATATATATATATATATATATATATGTGGGTTCAATTCATTTTTCTTGAATGTTGACGTGAATTGTGTAGAAGGTAAGAAAATAGAATAAAAATTTTGTGGGTGTGATGTAAAAATTTTTGTTGCCTCTTGCTGTATTCAAGAAATTTCCTCTCTGCATCCGGATTCAATTAATTTTTCTGAAATGTTTGATTAAGACGCTGCGGACGTAAAGAAAATGGCATAAAGATTTTGTCTTTTGTTGCATTTTTAAAGATTGAACGTGAAAATTTTTTTGGGTGAGATCTAAATTCTTGCTTCTAATGCCCAGTGATATGGAGAACTTCTGTTCACCAGCGAAAACCCACCTACAAAGCAGCAAGATCAGTTTCAGTCAGATGTGAGCAAAGTACGCAGGAGAGCAACAGCTTGGATGTGTGGCTGGGTCGGTTTGCCATGGTTGGCTTTGCAGCGGCTATTACTGTTGAAATAGCCACCGGCAAGGGACTTCTTGAGGTATCTTCATGCTGCAGTTCGTGACACTTGTCAATTTTTAACTATGAAAAGGCTAATTTAATTTTGTTCCAGTCATGGTTTTATGTGCCCATCTTTTTCAATCTGCTGGCTGTGTCTACACATAATTGTAAACCTAACATGTAAAGATCCAATACTAATTTAGTTATACAGGCTAACGCGTTAAATACATAGAAAATAAAATAGTTGATCATGCATAGTGTGTTTTTTTATAGTTAGTTTCACGAGTTTCTAAAACAGCTGTTTTAGTCATTTTATTAGTATACTATTACCAAAATGTGTACATAATCTAACTCTCTCTTCTTTTTGAAATACACATACTCTAACTATCTCTATCGGTGAAAGGATAATATGGCCACATGCTACTAAAGTTTAGCAGAATTGAACAAAAATTTTGTCAAAGTAGAAAACTGAATTGTAATTATGTTAAGATCTTGTTTCCATACCCGAGAATTTAATTGAAATAACAAATGGCTTCCAGCCGATGTCTTATAAAAGCCATTTTTTCGGTTTTTGCAGAATTTTGGGCTGACAACTCCTCTGCCAACAGTGGCGCTGGCAGTCACAGCATTGGTTGGTGTCCTGACTGCAGTATTTATCTTCCAGTCTGCCTCTGAGAATTAGTCAAACACTTCATGTTGCTATACTCAAGTTTGTAACTGAATATTCATATTGTCAGTTTTTTGTTCATTACTTGTCTTTTCTTGGTGCCTCTTCAATTTCTGAAAATGTCAACAGCTAAGCCATAAGTTGGCAGTGTATAAGTTGTGTAAACTCTAGTTGAAGTTAGTCTCTTTGTTGTTTTTGTAGCCAGAGTATCATCAGTGTTGTACTTCTCATCTAACTTTTCAAAAAAACATTTAATCTGATTATTTTGTGATTGATACTGCAAAAATCTCAGGTGACTTGGTGTTTCTTCAACAGTATATACCATTTTGCTTCGATGGATGTCAAGAGTTCTTCGTAATCTGGATCTTCTTTATGATAAGAATGAGTACTTTTATTTGTATCTCGATGGGTTGAGGTGATGCTCCCAGAGGACTAGGTGTTAACGCAGTAGTTATGATGCAGTATGTTATTTGTAGTGGGTGTATAACTTCTATGATTATGTCTAAAAGAATTTGTTAAGCTGGTTGCTTCTTTCTACTTTTTTGTTAAAAGGATTTGGTATATAATTATTTCATTCTGTTACATCTAAAATAAAGATATGTTAATTGCAAATTTTGCAAGTCAGACACCCTTATCCCTATAAGGAACATCCTGATCAGTGCTTAAATAAGGCATCAATACTGGTTTAGGCATATGCATAGACAGGTCAAGAGTCTAGCTTTAATAAGATTTAAATAGATACCGTTAATGGCTTTCGGTGCAAACCAACAAGCAGAATCTTGGTGATCCTCCACTAAGTTTATGTCAGATTTGAAGTTAGAAGCTACCAGAGAACAATTCAACATCATTCTTTACTTTCCCTGGAATCTATTCTCCTCTCTGCCTTTTTCATCCCAACAGCTCACTAACTTCAAACACAAGATATCTCCATTACAAACTTCATTTTATCTGAGATTTTTCTCTGTTCCTAGTTGTACATTTTCTCGTATTCTTTAACTGGTTTTCGTTGCAGAACTTCTTGGATTTCGATATCAAACCGGTTTGGTTAGCTCTCCTGTTCTTCTCCTCTGTTTCATTTTGAAGAATAAATTGCAGGCAATATGGGTGCATCTGTATCTAGACTTCCAAAGAGGTTACTTTCCAAGTGCAGAATAAGGATTTTGATGGTCGGTCTTGATTTCTCTGGAAAGACAACTGTCCTCTACAAGTTAAAGCTGGGAGACACAGTCACAACTGTGCCTACAATCGGTATCTATCTTTGAACTTATTACTTTGCCTTCTTGGTCTGGATTTTACTTTTTATGTATTTCATTTGAAATTCTATGTTGAAAATGTATTTTATGTGCTAATGTTTTTGCTTGTTAGGAAATTAGTTGACGAATAGTACTTACATAGAACCTCTTGCAATTTAAAGTAATGACCTGTGAGATAGCTGAGTTGATTCCTGCTTAGAGGTTTCGAGTTTGTAGAATTTGATCAACAGTTGACAATTTATTGTCTTCGTTTGTTATTTCCAGGTTTTAATGTAGAGACAGTGTCCTACAAAAACGTAATCGTCACGATTTGGGATGTAGGAGGCCAGCAAAAGGTACTGAAATTTATAATTATTATCTTTTGCCTCCATTGGTTATTGATCTGGTTCCAATAGAAAAAAATATAAATATACATGAAGACATGACAAAGGAATTAGAATTCACTCATTTTTTCCCTCCGAATATATACTCGATATAAGAGTTAGATTTGATAGAGTCTGCATTCTGATCCTGTAATAATGATTTTGGACAATCTAATTTCAAAAACCTAAATTGTTAATGTAAACTGAATAAGTGGAATGGAGGTCCGGCTGGGAAAAAAGAGGAAGTCAATAAAATTGGAGAACTATATATGTGGGTACCGTATAACATATTTTAGAGTCTTTTTCCCTGCAGTCACGATTTCTGGACCATGATTCCCGTTACTTCCTGAGAGGCTAAGCTTTGAAAGAGAGGAAACCACGTTATGATACTCAAAATCCATAATGAATTCAGCTTCATCTTTCCGTGAAAAAGATTAATCTGACCGAACTACGTATATTCTCTGCATATCTTATTTTTTCTTTGACCTGCTTGTTTACTTCATCATATCGCACAACTGTTCATTTGGTGATGCAGAGAGAAGTAGTGGCTGGAATACCGAATAAAAACTTCTAGTTGATATGGATTTGTTCATGTAAGTTGAAATTGGGTTTGATAATTTTTTTCAAAAAGATGTGTCTTTTCCCCGGGAGCTGAATAGTTGAAAGAGAGACCTTGATGGAGAACTGAAAAATAGACGTGTATTAGTTTTACATACGACTAACTTGTATCTCTAATACTAAACAGATTCGACCCCTGTGGAGACATTATTTCCAGAACATGCAGGGACTCATCTTTGTGGTGGACAGCAATGATAGAGATCGGATATCGGAAGCACGTAATGAATTGCATCGGATTCTGAGTGATGTTAGTAAGCTTTACTATTGAAATTAGTTTGTTTTTGTATTTGCAATTCGTAATATGAACGAAGATGAAGCATCATTGGAAGAAACGCGATGAATGTGTTTACTGTCTCTGATCCAAATCTTGATCTATTAATTTAACAGAATGAACTCGACTGCGCAAAACTGCTTGTCTTCGCCAACAAACAAGATTTTCCAGATGCCATGCCTGTCTCTGAGGTTGCTCATAAACTCGGGCTATATTCTCTCCGTCATCGTTGCTGGTAATTTGCTTTTGAACAGATAATTAATAGTTTGCTTAAATGCAACAATTTCACAACTATTGACTTATATAACAGTCTGCCCTCCCTTCTAATTGTTTGCCTGACTTTTAAGATAGATTACTTTTACATGTGTGGATCAATTCTGAATAAATTCTTAATTTGTAATTTACATTATAACAGTGTAAATCTTGTTTGATTACAGGCATATTCAGAGTGCTTCTGCTATATCTGGCCATGGACTGTACGAAGGTCTTGAATGGCTATCCAAGAATATCTCCAATAAGGCACCATACTGATACGGAGCCTTCTTTCTGCAGGAAACGCAGGCTAGACTCTCTGTCGTTCATGGCAGCCATGACTCCGACTGTGAATCTTTTTGAACACTTTTGCTCTCAAACGATGGGCATGTACATGCATATATACGTACATATATATATATATATATGGGTATATACGCGTCTGTGTGTGTGTGTATAAGTAGATGTATTTTCTAATGTCCATAACATTGTAATTTCGCTGCTGTAAATCAGTTCAGTAAGTGATTTACTAGTCTTCTTTGAATCAAAACTTTTCTGGTTGAAGATTGAGAAAGAAAAAAGGTGATTGAAGAATAAAGCTGCACGCTTTAGACCCACCTGGTAATGGCATACTTTTTTCATATACATATATATATATGTGTGTGTGTGTGTGTGTGTGTGTGTGTGTGTATGTATATGTGTATGGAACAACCTCAATGATGTTATGGTTAGCAAATAATGAATGTATGAAGCGAAATCAAAATTTTTGGACAGCTGGTTTAGAGAAGACGATCAAACTGTACACAATATTATTATTCGTACTTATCCGACGCCTACCACTGTTAGTTAGAATTAATATTTTAATATAATTTAATTATTTATTAAAAAATAAGAGAGAGTTAAAAAAATATTAATAATTAAATTGTAAAAACAAAATTATAAAAATTGTCAAATTGATTCAGACGATGACCCGTTCGGAGACCCACAATGTACAACCGTCATAATAACCAGAGTGACTGAAATTAAAGATCCACCACAAAATGTGTATGTATATATATATATATATCGATATAAATATGTATATGTATATGTATTAGAACCATATTGCCATTGATGGGTAACTCTCACCGACACATGGCCATAAAAATCTCAAACCCTTTTCACACATCAAAATTTCCAAAAAATAAAATAAAAAAAGTAAAAGTATACATATATAAACATACATATATATATATATATGTATGTATATATAGATTCTGTGTCCTCTGACACTCTACGACCGAGAACCGTCGTTTGAATTCAGCCCTTGAAATTACTAAATTACCCCTGACCATTTTAGCATATATATATATATATATATATTGACCATGTGTGAGTGTGTATATGTATATATAGATACATAAAATTTGTTATAATAAAAATGATAGAAAACAAACTGGAGTTCATATTTATATATTGATATATATATATACATATACAAAAATAAAAATAAACATACACCTGAATTTTCTTGCTAATTATATTATTTAAAATGACAATTATTTAGAAACAATATTTAATTAATTACTGAAAATTTTCTGACAATCAAGACCTGAGTTTTCCTCCATAAGCCTGCTTGCAAATCGAATTGGGTTTTTGGGAAGGAGAGCACATGTTAGCATTCCCTGGACATCCCTGCAGACAATTATCTCCCAAGCTACCGGCAACCTGCGAGTCACTGGCTATGAGTCTCGCCGGCGGTCTGCCTATCAGGAAGTTTCCGTCCAAGAACAGCCTCCTTAACGACTTGCTCCGGCTGTACTCCAATGGGATCCTGCCACGCAATCGGTTGTACCTCATCGATAAAGACGACAGCGAAGGGTATTCGGCGAAGGTTACAGGCGCGTAGCCGTCGATCTTGTTGTACCCCAGCTCCACCGCCACCAGGTCTCCGCCGGCGAGGCCGGGCTTGGGGATCTCGACACGTGTCAGGTTGTTATTAGCCAAATCCACTTGTTGAAGCGAGGGTAAGAGAAAGAACCATTCGCCGAGTGTTCCGGCGAACGAGTTCTCACTGAGTTCCACAACTTCCAGCTGAGTCAGCCCGTCAAATGAGTCCTTCGAGATGCACCCGGTTAAAGAATTTCCTTTCAAAGCTAATTCGAGTAAATTGTACGGAAGCTTTCTGGGAAGCGACCCGGTGAGTTTGTTGTAACTCAGATCGAGTCTCCGCAAACTCGAAAGCGAAATCATTGAGTTCGGCAAGGATCCGGACAAGGAATTGCGGGAAATATCCAGAGATTGCAGAGACTTGAAGTTAGAGATCGAGGGAGGAAGTGAGCCCGAGAATGAGTTGGATCGGAGAGTCAGAGACTGGAGTTTAACAAGAGAGGAAATGGATGAAGGGATTTCACCGTAGAAGTTGTTATCAGCGACGTCGAGGATGGTTAGTTCCGTGAGGTGAGATACCAGTGGAGTGAGTCGGCCCGAGTAGCCGGCTGGGTCGAGGGTGAGTTGGGTGATCCGAGATGAGTCAGCAGAGCAAGCGACGCCGCAGATGAAGTGAGTCCGGCGAGGAAAGGCGCATGGGTCGGCGGCGGTGAAGTCCCATGAAGCTAGACACGACCATGTCGAAATCGAAGAAGCGTTGATGGAAGCTTTGAAGGCTTTAAGTGCCGTTATATCTGAATGTGCCGTCAGTGCTTCAGCTATCAAAAGATTCCTGGGGTTGAAGACGATGACAGAGAGATGGAGAAGAAAGAAAACGAAGAACAGAGATTGCATCATCACTGTCAGATTTTCCTGAGTTCAGCTTTGGAAAAGATGAAGGCCAAAACTTGATTTTCAATATTTTTGGAGCGATGCAGAGTGTCTACATACATATATACACACACACACACACACACACACAGAGATATATAGACACACAAATATATATATATATATATATGTACATACAATGTATAGTTGTAGAGCACTTGGAAAGTTGAACAGTGGCTGGTCATACACGTCAATGTTATGGGAATATCTTAATTTTATATAACAAGATAAAATTAATTATTTGAAAACGTGTATTACTATTTATATCGAATGTGTAATTATTGATGATTATACTTGAGAGGGTGAATTATACATTTTTTTTTTAAAAAATTATTAAATTATGTGGTATATTTTGGATAAATTATTAATTTAATTAATAATTAAATTATTAATTATTATTATTAAAATTTAAATTATTTTAAAAAATAAATATTAAAATAGTCGAGCACAGGACGCTAATTACATAACCTATTCTCTTCCTCGTGCTGTAGCCGCCGCCCCTTCTTCCTTCTTCTTCAGCACTCACACTGCAAGCTACTCCAAATTGGAGGTTGAAACGCTTGCATCTGATGCAAAAACTCTGAATGGAGCCTTGCCGCCAAACCACAACATTCGATCCTCTGAATGCTCATGAAATTTCCGATGGTCGAGTTCAATTCAGGAAGGTGCCGATTCCACCTCATCGGCATTCACCTCTCAAGAAGACACGGATGGATATTTACATTAATAGATGAAAATTGACACCCGTATGAATCTCCAGGCTCGGAAAGTTGAGCCGAAGACTAGATCGGACACGCCGGATGTAGGTAATTTTCAGATATGTGCAGATTTTGTTTATGCCTTTATGTTAGTTTTGGTGTTATCAATGCAACTGTTCTCTTGCGGTTGAATGAGTTATACGTTGAATCTTTCGAAGATCGAGGATGTTAAAACGCTTAGAGGCGAAGATTTATCTCGTGCTAGAGGGAGATTGTTAGGTAAAGGAGGTGAAACAAAGTTTGCGATAGAAAATGCTAGGAAGACAAGGATTGTGATTGCAGACACTAAAGATTCACATATTAGGATTGCTTGTCAATATCAAAGTTGCTTGGGATTCCCTTTGCACCCTCATTTTAGGATCCCCTGCTTTTAAGTTATATTCTAAGGTTAGAGCAGTAACTGCTAGATTAGCAGAAAGGTTGTGACGATTCTTTGTCGTTTTATCTTGCAATTTTGCAGTGGAGTAATGGTTTTGTTCATAGTTTCTCTTAGGTAAAATCTGCTTTGAGCAATAGAAGGAAAAAGAAAGAAAGTTGAATGCAGTAATTCGAAAAACAAAAAGGGATTTGATTAGAGATGATGGAGGTCATTCAAAATTGTGAAGTTATTATGAGGGATTATTCAACGACATGATAGTAGCTTGTCGTCATCGATGAGGAAAAATGTTGTAATAACCACTGTTACCATCAAGATTTCTAGACAGAGGGAACGGGATGTGGATGTATATATACGTATACATATATATCCACGTCAACTTTAGACTTTATATATATATGTAAAGTTAGACTAGTATTTTCTCTAATGATCTCATCCAACAAAAAGTTTCAAATTTCTTTTGGGTAAATTCAATAGTAAACAAGCTTGATTTATAAGTTAAAGTTCAATCTCATGTTCTGCAAAACTGCAAGAATTCTCTTTATGATAGAACAAAACCCTTTAACTCAATAGCGTGTTAGTAAAATTAAGTCTAGTATATTAAGCTTTTGGATGAAATAAATATTATATAATGATTAAATTCTCTTAATTATAATAAATATAAACATCTTTTTATAAAAAATCAAAATTTTAATCGTGTTTGCTCATTAATTACTAATAATATATATATATATATATATAGTGGACGGTGCCACTAATGGCCCTCATTCAAAGTATTTGAATACTTGTAGAAGACACTAATCCAAATAAAAGCATCCTTTTATTTTTACTTGAATGAAGAAGTGAAATACATATAAATATATATATGTATGTGTGTATATATATGTAGGGAATCAAAGATCATTATTTTAGACAGGAAAGAAATTGATTGTGTGGTCAGTCAGGGATATTGGAACAGGGTTGTTAGGCAATTTTAGTAGGTAGTGGAGAAAATGGATTGAATTGCCAACTCAAGTCTTTGGTGGTATGAGCTTCATTTGCTGGCCCATTTTGCTGAATATGACTTGTTTGGCAACCCAGAAAATTAACCATATGAAATCATAACCTGGGTTGTGTTTGGTTGAGTTTTTTGCCTTCAGTTTTACGTTTTAGATACACTTTTACAATTAAATGGATCACATGCAAATTACTTTTAAAGTCAAAATATATTTTTAATAATTTTAAAAGCAAAAGTTACAATACATAGTTCTTAGAAAATAACTTCATTGTTTTATTAAAATTTTAGACTTTTAAATTAAAAACATTCAACTTTACTAAATATACAATTTTTACTTTTTTAAGGTGGAAATACTTTTTATAATTATTTTTATTTAATATAAAATAACTTTTAATTAAAATAATTATTTTAACATTACCTTTAAAACTTATAACATAAATTATAATACTTGTATTTGAAGTGTAGTATCATTATCAAAGTGCATATAAAATTGTTGGAAGGCGCATGGAATATCGGCTACCGTTTTACACCGTCGGATGAAGAGCTACTTCAGATTCTTGCAATAAAGCTGAGAGGAGAGTACGAAATCTTGGGAGGCCATGCAGTGAAGGAGATTGATGTGTACCAGAAGGAGCCATGGCTGGTTTTCGACAAAGACGAGTCAGAACCCTTCTATGTAAAGAAAAATAGCAGCAAGTCACGGATGGATAGAAAGTTTGCCTCCGGAACCTGGAGGATGGAGAGGTCGATCGACGTTGTAGACCAAGGCGACAAGGTTGTGGGATATAAGAAGATGCTAACTTTTGAGGAGAAGAAGAAGAAGAAGAACAGCGAGAATGGTAGGTGGATCATGCACGAATTTTCTTTCTTTCTTTCATTTCTTGAATCTTGTTTTTTCTCTGTAACTGGGTGTTGGGATTTGACGGTATATTCTCTAACGTTTGTTGGTTTGAAATAGTGCTTCCTTCTAATGGTGTCAGTGGCCACAAACTATAGGAGATTACCCTAGCACTCAAACTCCAAGGTCCCTACCTTACAGAAAGGAAGATTATATAGACGGGACTGGGGAGTTGTTCAACGCCTAATGGCGGTAACCCATTTTCCAAGATTACTTCCCTGGCTTATCTTCTTGGAAAAGGAACTGCGGGGGGGCTGGACCATACACCTATGTAACTCTTAACTTATGGCCTACCTGAAAAGAGAACTTGGAAAAGACCCCAGAGTTGGGAGATACTAGAGCTTTTGTTAGTCTTTCACACACAGTCGCTGTTATATATTAGGTATACACTGAGGAAGATATTGGTGGTCACAACCTGTTTCTTTCTTCCATGATCCATCATCCGAAGCTCCTCCAACCGAGCCTACTGAGTAGTTAATGTAGCTAGAAGTAGGATGAACAATGTTGAACGAAGAGAAACATGCAACATTATCGATTTTTAGCCATTGTATTCTGCTTGGTAACTAATGAACGAATTCAGGTCTGTAATTTTTATTTTCTTCTTCCTCTTTATATGGATATAATTACAATATGTTGTATTTTCATCTCTTCATAAATGTAATTGAAATTGAACAGCAGAAGTAGTCAATAGTGTAAGGAGTTGCATAAATAGAAGACAGTTTGGTATTAGAGAAAATCATATGACTTGCCAAGAAAGAAAGAAGAAATTGGATTTCCTGCTTCTGCAATCCGCAGTGCTTCTCTAATCTTTGAATGTAGAAGATCATGGTTTGCTTGAATTTATGGGTATTTATGTGATTTTACTTCATACAAGTGTATTTCATTTAATTCCAAAGTTATAAACTCGTAAATGTTTAATTTTCCAAGAAACCTAATACATCTCTACATTAACCAAATTCAAAACATATGTTATCAAACAATTTCTCATAAATATATATATATTTACAAAGAATTACATACAATCTAAAGTTCAACAATAAACCAAAACATTGTTATGTTAAACTTACGAGATCTTCGGTGAAAAACGCCAAAGAGAAGAGACGAGATTGCTTTATATTGATTCAAATACGGTACCTCTCTTATTACGTATGTATGTCGTAAAGATTGGTTTGTCAATATTTTGATATTGGATTTATGTATTTGTTGATATTAATTTTTTTTGTACTTTTGTTTTTTGTTGTAGTTTAAGTTTAAATTATTTATAAGTAATAAAAAATATTATTAAAATAATTATATTTAGAATAAAAAATTAAATCGTATAAATTTATACTTCGTAAAAGATACACTCTTATGTATAATTATTTTTTGGAATAAAATATTTGCATAAAAATTTAATACTTTAGTATGAATTAAATATATTATTTTATTATGAATTAGTCACAAATTTGCTACTTTTAATTTTTAAATTTAAACCTCTAAGTTAGAAACATTTAACCCAATTATAAAGTAATATATATACATATATAAATAATTTAGCCTGCATGGTATATCTAATGGTTTGAAATTTAAATATAACGGGTAAAATTATTATTACTTAATAAGAATTAATTTCAAAATTAAAATAATTTTTAATCCCATAGTAAGTAAGAAAAATTATTTTTTTTAGGTGAAAATCAACAAATTGGAGGAGTACAAAACTATCCTACACCCTAATGTATCAGATAACAACTCCGCGGTACTAAAGAACCGTTAGAGCAAAGCCTTCGCCGTATAACGGCTAGTTTTCATTTAAAAAAAAAACAAAACAAAACTCACGCCCAAAAATCACCAAGAAACGCGACCCGTAATCTTGCCGAAAATTTTCTCTTCAAAACAAACAATTTTCAGATTCTATACACCAACTCCCTTTTCTTCTTCTCCATCGTCTGATTGAATTGCTTTGCATAGAGGAATCTTATTCCATTCTTGGTTTGTAGTTTTTGGTATAGTCTCCCGCCATGGATCTAGGCTGCTTGGACATGGGTTGCATCTCTGTCTCCGATAAGCACAGCAACGACGTCGTTCTTGATTCTCAGGGCAAAGAAGCACATTCCCCCGAGACTACGTCCTCTGCTTCAAAGCCTGGAAAGGTGAAAAATCCTTTGTGTTTATCAGTTTCAAAGATCATTCTTCTTCGTTCAGAGTACGGTCTTTGAGATGGTTTATTGAATTGCGATGCGCCGAAATTTATTTAGGTTTTGTTGAATTCTGTTTACTAATTTGGTCACCTGTTTCGATGCTGTAGATTTTTGCTATTATTGACAAAACTTAATGTAAAAAGAGAATTGTAGCCAATCTAAGTGGATTTGTCAGTATTTTGTTCTGAAAGTTAGGGCTTAAAGGTAAACCTGTTAATACATCTGATTAGTGATAATTTATCCGAAATTACCTCAATTCATTTCTGTTGTCATATCACTGAAATCCTAAGTGAGAACGCCTGTAGAATTTCCATCTTCCCGGTTTTTAAAACGGAATTTGATGCGAATTTGCCTATCTCCTTCAATCAGTGAAGTGAATCTTCGCATTTCTTGTTGATCCCAGTAGTTCTCCTCATTTTTCCTGTCTTAGGGTACAACTAAGGTGCTGATCTTCTATGTTCTACTACTATTTTATAAACTGAATAAAACACATTCTGTACTTTACTTTGAACTGGAAACTGTATTGTCGCTGGAATTTCTTATATATTAATTTGGCATCCAACCTCAGATTAGACTATAGCTTTTATCTATATTCAACTTTTAATGCTTTTACTGCATCCTGATTGTAGATACTTCCCCACGCTCTCATTTTTGTACGAAACAAGCAACTCAATCTCTCTTTCTATCATGGTTGAAGTCTATATATCAGCCTCATGTCTATCAGCATCTCCCTTTACCATGGTTGAAAGTGTATACATTAGCCTCATCTCTACTAAGTTATGGGTGTATCTCTCTATCTCTATACGAACCTTGAACTTGGATGCTAGATTCAGTAGCTAACCATTTCTTATGAGTGTATCTTTCCTGCTATTTACCACTTTGTTGATAATTTATCTTTATCTACATATTATATAGTTATTTAACCATTTCTTATTGTGTTCGGTTGTTTTTTAATATTGTAATTATGTGATAGTGCAGAGCAAAACATTGAAAGATAATGGCCCTTCAACACTAAATGCTCTAAACAAGTTCACCTCTCAGATAAAGAAGCCCCCTCACCGCAAAAATTCACCACTCAACTGGTTCCCCCGCAGGAAGGTGGAGTCATATTTAAAGAGGAAGATAAAGATGTTGCAGGTTGTGTAATATATTTGAGTATCGCTGGTGACTGGAATTTTCCCGCTTATTTCTTTTACCATATTGCTAATGAAATGCTTGTTTCAGGAAGTAGATGGCATGAATTTAACTCTTGATGAGACTCTTGGTGATTCGAATCCCCATTACTCAAGAGTTTTGAGGGAAAAAATGGCAGCAAGAGAAGCTGCAAACAAGGCAATGGAGGCCCGGAAAGCTGCATTGGTGGAAGCATCATGGTGTCGTATACTTCGGGCAGCTAGGTAGAATTTTAAACTTTCAGTATATACAGGAGAATAATGTTTACGAATCTGGTTTCTCTGCCATCTAATTTTAACGTCGTCTACAGGATCCAAAGTAAAGAGGCAGAAACTCAGCTGTTGAAAGCTGAAAAAGCTGCAGCAGAAGCTTTTGAAGCGGCAGCATCCATTGGAGTGATAATGTATGATATGCCAAATTGCCCTCAGAAGCCTAGTGAAGTAGAAACTTCTGTAAATGGAGGGGAATCTACTACTCATACTGTTACAGCATCTTTTGAAACAGCATTTGAAGTTGATAAAGAAGTCGCAGCAGCAGTCAAAACTGCATTTACTAGGCTTGAAAATTGTTCCTCTTTTAACAAAGACGAACTTAAAGACATACTGAGAAAAATCAGAGAGACTCCAGATGCAGATGATGGTCATCAGGACTTGTCAGAGGTTTCAGAATGCGAAACAGAGTTGGGGACAGAACACGAAACATTCTCTGAGAAAGATTGTGTTAGACCTCAACAGGACCTGGATAATAAGATGCCCGTTATTGACATGAGAAATAGGAAATCCAGGAGGAGGGAATCCTTTGGAAAGCTTAAAATGGTGAAGCTTGTGGACATGATGCTTGAGAGACTTCAATGTTTTCATGAAGATGAGCTTTCATCTCTTGCCACTATAGTTGCAACATGTGGTTTAAATGCTACCTTAGCTGAAGTTGGAAATGGTAAGCTGCAAAATCTAAGTTCAAGTGCTTCCACTGTTAATGGCCCCCGGCGTATGTCTTCCATGGGAGCAGGAGGAATGAGGAACTCTAGTTTTGAATGTTTCATGGGTGGGAATGTGAGAAAGAAGCAAGCTGAGTTGGAGGAGTTTCCAACTCTAGATAAGTATCTGGTTAGGCACATGACCAAACTCGAAAAAGAGGTGCTGGAAGCCAGGAATGCCCAGAAGAACGCACCTAAGGAAGGAGAAGTGGATGGTTCCAATGAACTTAATGATGGAATGGGAACCTTGAGCAGGCTTGAATGTTTCATGGATGGAAATGTAAGAAAGAAGCAAGCTGAGTTGGAGGAGTTCCCAAGTCTAGATAAGTATCTGGTTAAGCACATGACCAAACTCGAAAAAGAGGTGCTGGAAGCCAAGAATGCCCAGAAGAATGTACCCAAGGAAGGAGAAAGGGACGGTTCCAATGAAGTTAATGATGGAATGGGAACCTTGAGCAGTAATATAAATCCAGTGGAGTCTATTCCAGAACTTGGAAGAATTCTTGTGAAGCATTCTATGAAGTTTGAGAGGGAAATTGAAGAAGCAAAGAAGAATGCAGGAGAGAGTTTCATGGATGGAAATGTAAGAAAGAAGCAAGCTGAGTTGGAGGAGTTCCCAAGTCTAGATAAGTATCTGGTTAAGCACATGACCAAACTCGAAAAAGAGGTGCTGGAAGCCAAGAATGCCCAGAAGAATGTACCCAAGGAAGGAGAAAGGGACGGTTCCAATGAAGTTAATGATGGAATGGGAACCTTGAGCAGTAATATAAATCCAGTGGAGTCTATTCCAGAACTTAGAAGAATTCTTGTGAAGCATTCTATGAAATTTGAGAGGGAAATTGAAGAAGCAAAGAAGAATGCAGGAGAGAGTTTCGGAACAGCCCATGAGAACTCAAACAGAGAACTAGTTTCATCTGAGGCCATTCCTGACCTGGGAAGTATGCTAGTTAAGCATTCTTCAAAACTTGAGAAGGAAATTGAAGAGACAAAAAGAAACTTTGCAAACGCATATGAGACTAATGATAAAAGGAAGGGACGAACGGAAAAGGGGGGAATGGTTAATCGTCCAGAACTTCCCAGCCTGGATAAGTTTCTTGTAAAACATGTCTCAAGACTTGAAAAGGAGGTCATGCAAGCGAGGAACAGAAGCAAAATTGATGATGAAGGAAGTAATGCAGCAGCTTTGAAGAAAACAGCTGATTCATCTGCCTTAGGCTCAGAAGAACAGAAGGATGACAGTTTCTGTTCTGGTAGATTGGAGAAAGAAAATATTGACTCCAATAAAGCAGTTTACGAAAGGATGACAGTTTCTGAGAAGGAACTCAAAGTGAACCCAAAGGAACCAACCATAAATAGCCTGGAAAAGATCTTGGTAAAACCATTGCACAGATTAGAAAAGGAGAAAATGAAAGCATCTTTATTAGGAATCAAGTATGAAAAGAATAGGCTGCGAAGAAGAGGAAACGATGTTACAGATTATGAGAGTTTGGACAAAGTTTTAATAAAGCATGTTCCAAGATTAGAGAAGGAGAAGATGAGGTTCAATGCAGCTGAGGAGGAAGTGACAAAGGTCAAGAAAAACAGCACAAATGTGCAGTTGCATATAAATGAAGAAGGAAGTTTGGACCAAATCTTGGTGAAGCACAAATCAAGACTTGAAAGAGAGAAGACAGCAGCCAAGGGAGCTGAACAACCTGGAGATCAGACTAGAATTTCTATATCTCGTAAAGAAGCAAGGGAAAGGGAGCTTCAAGAAGCATGGGGAGGCTTGAGCTTAGGCAATTCCATGAAGCCACATGTATCAAAGCTCCAACGCGATAAGGTAACTTCTTTAGTCATCAAAAACACATACAGTATTGTTATCTCGTAAACCATGTTCATATGTTTCTGAACTTTTTGCCCCTATGATTAAAAGTTCCTACAACATTGTCGTTTGGGATTGTCGAAACAAATTCGTACAACTACTGAATAAGCAATGGTCAAGTTTCTGAACTTTTCCCCCCCTACCATAGAACTATGCTCAGGGTTTCTGAACAATTTTCCCACTAAAATCAATATTGTCATTTTGGGATCTTGAACTTCCAGCTATTTATATAGGAGAAACTATGATCAAGTTTCTCCTCCAAGATCAAAATGGTTTAAATACTATGAACCCAGAGAACCATACAAAACTATCTCAGGTTTCTTTTTGTGTTCCCCCAAGTTATTTTTTCTTGATGATTTTTCTCTGTTTATTTATATAGGCTGCCTGGATTGAAGCCGAAGAGGAAGAGAGGAGACAAGCTACAAAGATGTAAACTGAAATCTCATGTTCCTATGACACATCAAAATCAACATTCATGTGTTACATATATACATATGCATATATATATATATATGTATAGATGGATTCCCCTTTTTTTTTTTTTCTTGTTTTTAGCATTCCATACTTCATGGACTATCTTATCTTGCCCCATTGTGATGAACATCACCATTTGTGGTAGCCATGAAAGTTTATGGATGATTTCACATTAATTTCTTCTTCCAAGTTGCAATCATCATGGATATATATATATATATATATAGTGTTTCAAATTTTGAGACATATTGTGGCAATTTAATAATGTTATTGAATCAAAAAGTTTGTTTGATTATTTTTATATTTTAAAAATTCATTTAGATAATTATTAATTTTAGTTTTATATTTTAAAATTTAAGTTGATAATATTTAAAATTTTATCACTATAAAATATATATATTTATAATAAAACTAGTATATTTTTTTTATTTTTTTATTCAAAAAATTAAAAAAAAAACTTAAGATTCTCCAATTTTTTACTTTTATATTAATATATATATATATATATATATTGAGATGTACACATGAAAATGTTTGAATTTCTTTTAAGTTAATATATTACTGTCATTTAAATAAATATTTTACTATTATATATATATTCATAATTTATTTATAATAATATACTTGAATATTAATATTTAAAAATAAACTAAAATATAATCTTAAATATATTTTTATTTCATTGAAATTTAAATTGAAAACAGTAAATTCTCAAAGCCCAAAAGCATCGGCCCAAAAGTATCTTCTCTTTCAAAGTCTTCTCTTATGTCATTTGTTGGCTGTTTTCTGCAACATATATATATATATATAATATATATATACACACGCACACGCACACGCACACGCATATATGTAATTCGTTTACCTCATCGTACAACTTCATTTGACTCCGACAATACGTGCCTCCTTCGTCTTCTTCCTCCATACACTCACATTAACCTAACTTTTTTCTTTTTTTCCGTTCTGATTCATTCACTGTTTCTCCTCTCAGCGTCGGATATCCGCCATGGGGGGAGGAAATGGGCAGAAATCCAAGATGGCACGCGAGAAGCACATGGAGAAGCAAAAAGCTACCAAGGGTTCTCTCTCTCTCTCTCTCTATCCCAATTGATTTTGTTTGTAGTTTCTAGTCCTTGGGTTCTTCACATATCTATGCGAATCTCTCTGATTTCGACGTTACTTCTGTTTTTTTTTTTTTATTTAATGTGCAGGAAGCCAGCTTGATTCCACCAAGAAAGCCATGAACATCCAGGTAGCCCTCTGCATGGTTTCGAGCTTGGATTTTTCACATGTGCTGTCTGTGTCATATAATTTTTGACACGTCTTTTCCTTCTCCTGTGTGAGAATCTGCTCTTTTCCTCCAATATTTCCTAAGCATGTGATTGCCGCTACTGTTTTATTTTATTTTTATGATTTTCAAATTTAAGAAAAGGGTTTTTGATGGTAAGATCAGTGGCTTTGAACAGTTAATACAGCCAATAGTAAAACTTATTAACTTTGATGTCTTGTATCAAATTTCTTCCTTATGAGTTTTGAGAGTGAAGTTTCATGCTTTTGTGTTGTTGTTGGAATGATGAATTTCTTGTCTTTAAGCTTGGAAAACTCCCAAGTCTTAAAATTGAGATGCAATTATCTTAAGTTGTGTGGTCCTAATTTCAATTTTATGAACTAAGAATAGTATAGAAATTTGAATGAAAATAGTATTTTAATTTCAAGTTAATTGTAGATTCAAACAAATTAGTTGTTTTGGTGGCTCATTCCTTGACAAGTGAGAATATAAATCTATTACCATAAAATTAAAGGAGTGAAGTCAGTTATACATCAAACCTGTAAATTATAGCTAATTTTTACATCAATCAACAGTTGGAATCTAAGACTTGAATAAGATTAGAATAGGGTTTGAGTCGAACGCACTATAACATTAGTCTGGGAGCCATTGAATAAACACTACTTGTAATGCATGCGTAATTATTTGGTTTGCATAATTGGAAAGAAGCATACTTCATTTAATCTGCATAAGTGTTATACTCTATGCAAGAAGTTGGATCAAACTTGAATGGTTCATGAGAGTGCCTGTAGATCAAAGCATTGAGGCGCTGTTCATAAGTATGTTTGTTTCTGCATAAACTGCTAATTCTGCTAACTCTGAATTTTCCATTTTTCTTTCCTCCTGTAAATCCTGTCTCATTTTTCAAATTCATCTTATTGTCTCTTCTGAAACTGGAATAAATCTGTCTGGCATTTGCCATACTAAAGCTTAGCCTTTGAGGTATGAAGTTGGCCAAATTGATATGTGTTTGTGCCTGTGTATGCTTGTATAGGTGCAAAACCTCGCAAATTATACGTGTCAAAATGGGCTGAAGGTGGCCAAATTGATAGTGTAAAGAATCGCTCGAGCCAATGACAAATGGAACTTCTTAGATCATTACTTTGTTTATATTTTTACTTCTGTGAAAGAATTCAGGATTAGGTGTTAAATGATATACCATGATGACATGTTTTGAGATATGTAAATATCGAGGAACTTTCAATCAAGCAATAGTAACTTGTGTTCCGGGTATAGGTTTTGCATGCACGATGCTGTTAGGACTCACTTACATGGCGAATGTTGGAGCCATATCTGACTAACTATACTTATCTCTGTTTTCTTCTATTGATGTTGGTATGTACATATGTATGTCAAATACCAGTTCACAGTGAGCAAGATTTGCTCTTTGTTTATTTTGTCTTGGTTTTATGATGAGAAACTCTGTTATAAGACTGATAGCACATTGGAATCTCAAATTTGAATTTCACCTCCTTGTCCTTGAGACTGCAATGTACATGAGTTCAACAGGACCATCCTGGAATTCACAATTATTCTTCGTGACAATTCCATATCTGATTTTCGACGATTACATAATTCTTCTTTCAAGGTTTTGATTTCACATGTGGTGTAGTCAGTTACACGTCGCAAAGTACTTAAACTCAAGTCACCGAGTACTGGACAGGTAATCAATGACTAGTAGACAAGTGGCCTAGGACTTGTCACTTCATCAAGCCACCACTCGAGCTTCAGGAGACTCCCTATCTTCGTCTCGAAGTGGACTAAAACTTATGAATAGATCTCTAAGATTTGATCATCTTCACGGTAACGCGTTCAAAGTTTATTTTGTTAAAGTTTTCGTATTCTTTCTCTTAACTGCTCTTGTTTAAACTCTATGTTGTAACCGGAGAAACATCGTAGGACAAGTTGTTGCGACTAAGTGGAGATTTCATCCGCATCACAATCCGTTGTCATTTCTCGTTTTTTTAAAACTGTTGAAGACATGTATGAGTTAAAAAGCTATCTATCTGGAACTCCCATTTGTGTTGAATTTTCCTGTCTCCATTTGTTACTACATATGACCTGTGAGACATTGATTTCAACCATCGACGAAAACTATGACTCTTGAATTTTTATTGTTGTTGTTGTTGTTGTCGTCGTCACTCACAACAACATGATATCACAACATCATGATATCACGTCTCGTGGATCATCGAGACGATCAAATCCAGCACACATGCAGACATTCATTCGTGCGTACCGCTTCGGAAGTGAAGTGCCGGGAACGTGGCGAAGCAAAGCATCCTAAACCCGATATTTACACATGTTTTATGCAAATTAGAATAGTATACTTCAATTTCATTATGTTTAATGGTAAATGATGAATTTTTTCGGCTTCAATTTTTTATAATTTTGAGAATTTTTATCGTTTTCAAAAATCGGTATGGCTTTGTAAATGAATTTTACATAAATTTAAAATTTATTCCAAACATAAACCAAAATTTTGATATAATTAATCCCAATATACTATTCATTATAATCTTGCAGTATTAATTATGTTATAAATTAAAAAAAAAACTATTCATATTTTACAAATTAAAAGATTCCATTATGATTTTAATTTAAACATTCTCGATTCAAATGATTAAATAAATTAAGTTGAAATTGGTTCCATAAAACACACATTAGTGTGGGATTAAGAGCTTTAATTATTGAACATTATCACAGCATCCTGACAGACTGCCTTTATATGCTCACAACACTAAGAATGTTTCATCTATTGGCCCCCCAAAATTTAATTAATCTTTCAAAACATTAAATAGATTTAAAAGGTGCTAATCAATTAATTAAACCCTTAAGATTCTATAATCATGTAATTATCTCCTCTAATTATAATTATAAAAATTTTTAATTTTAAATTTATTAAAACCCACTTGAAGTGTAGGAGTCAAAGTTATTTTTTTCCATCTTTGACCCGGCACCACAAATTTGAACATGGTGGATAGATTTAGGAAACAATTAAATAATAATAATAATATATTTTTTTTAAAAAAAGAAAATACTATTATTAATTTTATATAATTTATATAAAATATGTTTTAAATATATATATGTATATATGTATATAAATTTATAATTTAAATAATTAAAGAGGTGTTGGATCTAAAGTTTTTGAGATTTTTTTTTGCAAAGTACCAAAAAGTGGACCGAAGAAGAAGAAGAAGAAGAAAAATAAAAGGTGGTGTGTTTTTATGTCTCTGGGAAGTGGTGGGACCCAAGTGCGAGTAGTGGGTCCCATTTTCCAAAGTGCGGGCCCCACACCACGCGTCGGAAGTACTCATTCACGGCAAACGCGTGATTCACTCTTCACTTTCTCTCCCTCTTTTTTATTTTTTGATTTTTTTATTTTCTTCCCCACCACCCCCCACAACACAAACCAAAATCTTTTCCTTCTCCTCCCAAAATTCTCTCCTTCAACTCTCTACTTTTTGTTTTTTGAAGCACTCAGAGTTTTTTTTCTCTCTCAATTTAGTTTTCTTTTTCATTTTCTAATTTCTGATTGAGTCCATAACGTTGACTTGACTCTCTCTCTCTCTCTCTCTCTCTCTCTCTCTCTCTCTCTCTCTCTCTCTCTCTCTCTCTCTCTCTCTTTCTCTCTCTCTGTTGCCATTCTTTTCAGCATTTTCCCACACATTCTTGTTCCTTTCCTCCTTTTTTGATATATATATATGTGCGTGTGTGTGTGTGGGCAAGTGGGTTTGCTTGTAGATTGTCTTTTTTTGCTTTGAAGGTTTTGCTTTAAGCCTTCAATTTCTCCATTACCCTTCTCGTTTCTCTGTCCGGGAACATGAATCCTCTCCCTCTCATCTTCCTTTTTCTTCTTTCTTCTTCACTTCATTTCTCCCCTGTTATCTCCACAAATTCTGAAGGTACTTTCCTCTTTTAGCACTTCCCCATAAACTTTTTCTTTATCTAGGGTTCGTGTTTTCTTCTTTTTTTTTTTTCTCTGTTTGATTGCTTTTAAATCATACCCAGAAAGTGAAATTAGCAAAAAGGAAAACCAAGTGTTTATGTTAAGTCCTATTTTCTGTTTAGCTTAATTGAAGATTACTCTTTCCTTAAATCTCTCTCTCTCTCTTTTTTTTTTTTTTCATTTTCTGTTTGTTTTTTGTTAATCCAACACTCGTCAAGAAAAAGTTGTCTTGTGATTTCCTTCTCTTTAAATTTCGGTTCTTTTTAACCTTTTTTTGTACTTTTTTTTTTTTTTTCTGTTTTCAGGAAATGCTCTGCATGCTCTGAGAAGCAGACTTTCTGACCCAAGAAATGTGTTGCAGAGCTGGGACCCAACTCTGGTTAATGCCTGCACTTGGTTTCATGTCACCTGTGATTCTAACAATCATGTAATTCGCTTGTAAGATTAAAGATTCCCTTTCTTTATCTTTCTTTTTTTTTCCTTTTTATTTTTCAGGTTTTTATGGTAATTAATCTATATTTTTTAGTCTATGTTTTCTTATTGGTTGATAGAGATTTGAGTTCATTAATACCATCCTAATTACTCTGTGTTCTTGATTTGAATTCTTCAAAGACTTGGGCAACTCTAACATTTCTGGGACTTTGGGACCTGAACTGGGCCAACTTCAGCATCTGCAGTACTTGTAATTTTCTCTTTCTATGTTTCTCAACTTTTTAAACTTGTACTTCGGTTGAGCTTAGCTTTTTACTGTACTTGTCTTTAGTTGATGAGAAATTTGGTTTTTGAATCTCACTTATCATGTTATTTCACTGAGTAACATAGTTTCCTGCGTGTTTGTTTATGTCTTAGTGCTCAGTTAGTGGTGAATCTGGAATTTAATTCCAGTTTTAGTGATTTCTCTCGGATTTTCTTGGGGAACAAACAGATTATTAACATGTTAATGTCTTCGTGCTCAGTTACTGGTGAATCTGGAATTTAATTCCAGTTGTAGTGATTTCTCTCGGATTTTCTTGGGGAACAAACAGATTATTAACATGTTATTTTGCCTCCAGAAAACTGTGTTCGCTTTTCCCTTTTTATGGGTTTTAAATTAAATGCTAAGATTGGAATCTGGGAGTATACATATTTCCAAAGCAAGACTAATAAATGAAAAGTGAATCTGAGATTCAGTGTTAGCTGCAGTCATTTCCCTTGGATTTTCTTGGGAACCAAACAGATTTTAACATGTCATTTACCTCAACCCCAGAAGAAACAAACTGTGTATTTTCCCTGTTTATGGTTTTAAAGCCCATGATATGGTGTGAATAAGAGAGTTGTTTACATGAGTTTGCATATTTCCAAAGCAAGACTAAGACATCAAAGGCGATATTCAAAACCAAACTTCCCCTGGTTATTTCTTAGAGCCCAATTAGTGGTAAATATGGGATTCAATTCTAGCTGCAATAGTTTTCCTTGGATTTTCTTGGGAACCAAACAGTATTTAACATGTTATTTACCTCCAACCAAGAAGTGGGTTTTCCCTTTTTATGGTTTTAAAATCCAATGCCATGGGGGAAATAACAGAGTTCTCTTTTTAATTATGGGCTGCAGGGAGCTTTACAGGAATGATATAGGAGGGAAGATCCCAGAGGAGTTAGGTAACTTGAAAAGCCTTGTTAGCATGGATCTGTATGGAAACCGATTTGAGGGAGAGATTCCCAAGTCGTTTGCCAAGTTGAAATCACTCAAATTTCTGTAAGCATCTCTACCTTAGCCAGTGAGATATCCATACAATTCATCCAAACATGTTTTAGAGGTTAATCCTTGTTGGTTTGATCTTAACTTGTTGGTACAGTCGACTGAACAACAACAAGCTGTCCGGATCAATCCCCAGGGAACTCACCAACCTCCCGAACCTCAAAGTTTTGTAAGTTCATTCTAAAAAGATTGCTTCCGAATTGTAATTATATTTTGTTCATCTCTAACTTATATCTTATGTTTCGGTTGCTTGATGTTGCAGTGACGTTTCGAACAATGATTTGTGCGGAACGATTCCAGTAGATGGCCCGTTTGGGAGTTTCCCAATGGAGAGGTATAATTTCTCTTTCTCTCTTTCTTCTCATCTAAATAGTGAAGCATAAAGTTTTTGTATAGTGTTAAGAAACGGAAGCAAGCTTGGGCGTGGGAATGGTTTCGTCCGGTTCTAGCTTTAGCCACTTATGAATTAGTTAGGTTGTTTCTGCTATTTAGCAATAGGAGAAATCGATTTCATCGGTCTGACTTCCGAGTTATTTGGAAAGGTACCGTAAGGTCAAGTTTATAATATTGATTATAAGCATTAGGATTCTCACTCGCGTTAAAGTTTGAAAACATAATAGTTTTCAGAATTTGTGAGGTCGAGTGTATAGTATTTGTCGTTGCCCCTGCATTTCAGTTTAGCTGCATTTGCTCGATACATTTGACGAACTGACACCAGATTCATTGTCTTTACACCCTTTCGTGCGTAAGGTTACGATTCATATGCTCCCATTTCATATCGTGAAACTTTAAAATCGTCTATCTGGAATTTTTGCAGCTACGAGAACAACAGGCTCAACGGACCAGAGTTGAAGGGACTGGTGCCTTACGATTTCGGATGCTGAGTACCAGAATTGGTCAGTCCCTCGCTGTAAGATGAACAAGTAACCCCCTGGCCTCCCATCCACGGGTGGTTAGTTTGTAGTACCAAATATTACATCCCGTAAGCTGTGTTGTGTTTTAATACTTTACCACTCTGGCGAGCAAATAAGAGGGATTGTTGGGAGTATCGAAATCTCGAGATTACAGTCTTTGTCGAAGAAGACATATTAATATAGGGTTCGATCTACATAAGTCGATAGATAACCGAACTGATATTTGAGATTGAAATACAGACATGGAACATTTTACATGTACTTTTAAGTTTCCTTTTCTTTTTCAGCATGCGGAAATATATTTATGTCGACGAGTTCAAACTAATTGGTTGAATCCCGTAAAAATTATTTCGCAAAAATTTATTGATATGTGTATTTTTTTATAAAATAAATTAATTAATTAGAGAAATAAAAATAAAAAACGAGATAATCTGAGTCCGGCAATGACACGAATAATTTTACTTATGATATACTTCGAATTTAATCTTAAATCGGTTGTGTTAAATTAAATTATATATATGAATTTAGATATTTAACGTTTTTTACTGATGAAATAATTTTAAAATAAAAAATTATAAATAATGATCAAATATTAATAAATAATAAATATATTCAATTAATTAATAATAAAATACAATAAAGACGAAAATATTGTGGATACGTACTGATCATTGGTCAGTATAGGGAGCGAAATAGGAAGAAGTTGAGGGGTATTACTGCAAAAAAAATAAAAAATATACACGAGTAAAACAAAGAGGAATCCTAAAGTGCAACGCGGAGAGTCGGTAAACACGTGGCGAAGAACTAATGGATGGTGAACACGTGTCTTGTAACTAACTGGGTACAACCAACTCCTCGCGCTTCACGTAGGCGTTTAGATGTTTGACACGTGTAAGAATTTCGCAAATCGACTACGGTAATCGCGGGAGTTTAGATAAGACCCTGTACTCGCTTTGGCTTATTTTCAGCCACCAAAACTGAAAATTGAACGGTAGTAAAATGAGAAGCGAATGAATGAGAAAGCGAGTATAGGTATATCGTACCGTCAAGCGAGTAGCGATTGACCTAACGGAAGCAAATCCCCAATTTTCCACCGTGACGGTTTTATACCCCACGAAAGAAGCAGAAGTCTTCTATCTTTCTGTTCGTCAGAGTTCTAAAACCCCAGAAAACCCCATAGCCAGAAGCTCGAATCTCAAATCCACTGGAGAGAGAAGAAGAATCTTTTAAGGAAAAGATAAGGTCGGGGAGAGAAAGACGAGTTGTAGAAATGAGCGGAGCTTTGCTGAGGAGAAACGGTACAATCACCCGGTTGTTACAGAGGAACACGATCACCGACCTTACCAACCCCGTCGCCAGAATCCAGCCGATTCCCGTTAGCCGAGTGTATGCAGAGACGAAGACTAGAGCTGACTTTCGGTTATTGCATTTTCTCAGGAAAGCCAGAGAGTATGAGGTGTCTCCTTCGCTCTTCACCTCTTCTTTCTCATCTTCGTCTTCTTCTGCATCAACCGCGTCTTTTTCGAAAGTCGGGTTTGTCGGCTGGTATCTTGGCATGGTAAAGTCTTGGCCTGTTTTGACAAAGAGTGTCACTTGCTCGCTTATTTACATTGCCGCTGATTTATCGTCTCAGGTAAGTGTTGTGTGATTAAGAGTTCCTGGGTATTTGTTAATTGTTCTTTTCTTGTTTTGTTCATCAAAGGTGGATCTTTTTACGTTCTTCGTGTTTGGTTCTTGAGAAAATTGAAGAAAGAAGACATGAAAGTTTTGTTCTACGAAATTCCAAGAACAATGCTTGAAATGAGTTAGGTGGATCAGAAAGATGTGAACCTTTGAAAACTGTTTTACTGTTTGTATTTGCAAATTCCTACTGATGGATATTTATAGTTTATATTAGATTAAGTTAGAAGATATGTATGTTCTTGTAGATGAATCTTTGCACTGCTAGAATTGGTGCTACTAGTATTAGAAGGGAATGGAGGTGAAAGTACTTTGCTTGTTCTCTTCTTTTTGGGTGCTGGAGGAGGGAATGGGAGTGGGATGCTCAATTGAGATTTATTCAGGCTCCTGACCAGCTCCCTTTCTGCAGCAGGCATTCTTGCCACCCTTATGGGAAATGATGTTTTGTGAATACAAAAGAAATTGATTCCTTCTGGCCTGAAGATTCCAGTCAGGGGATTTTTCAGTCAATTTCACGAGATAGAATGGGATTGTTTCTCTTTCTTCTAGTTTACACTATTTGGTTCATATTGTCTAGTAGACTTCGTGTTCCTGGCAGGTTTTGAGGAGATGCTTTTCTTTTTTTATAAAGGGACACATTCCTAGTTGTAGTAACATGGGGTTGAGCGCCGGACTTCAGCCTCTACAAGGGAGAGGCATCAGAGTTCTGAAATTTGAAAATTTTCATGGTTCTGCTTGAGAAATCTGAAATTTGCTATCCATCAGAGTTCTGTTTGTTTGAGAGTTGATACTTTGGCCTCATTCTATGCTTAATAGCATGGGAATAAAAATGTCTCAACCATGCTCCTAAAGAAATCTTTGGCAAATCTAATGAAAGGAACAAAATAACCTTAGAGATGTCCATATCCCCATATTTGGTAGAGGATGTCTTATCTTTTACTTTTGTGTATGTGCACACCTGCGCTTGTTTTTCTTTTTTTTGAAATATAAAAGAAGTAATATTATTTACAAAGGTATTAAGGGAGTACCGCACATGTACAAAGCATAGTTACAAGTCAATTAAGTGGTCCATAATCTATCCAAAATCATCCCAATCTTTGATGTCATGACCTAACAAAATAGAGGCAAAAGTATAGATCCATCTATTTTTAATATTTGTAATGTTAGTCTCAATGCCTTCAAAAGATCTTACATTTTTTTCCTTCCACACAACGCAAAAAATAGTTAGTGGAATAAGGAACAAATCTTTTTTCTTCTTACAATAACCTGTTCAAGCCCACAACTCTGTATTCACATTTTCAGCCATTACCCAACTCAAACCCAGCAAACCCAAGATAGAATTTCAGATGCTGTAGGTTGTCGGGCACCACAAAAGTAGATGGTTGCATGTCTCCTCAACCAATTTGCAAAGGTAGCCTCTGTTAACCATGGTATTACCTCTCTTTTCAGCATATCGATAGTCAAAATGTATTCTTTGGCGGTTTCCCCACATAAAAAAAGTCATCCTAGGAGGGGCCCCAGTTTTCCAAATTCATTTAAAGGGTGCACACCTGCGCTTCTTTTTGAGAGGAAGATCTAGAACTTTGAATACTCCTATTCTTGCTGGGAATCAATGTCTTTTAGGGGTCTTATCTTTTTGAATCTCGATCACTTGTGTAGGAAATTTAAAATTCTAGTAAAAAGTGATGCATTAGGATGGTAAACTATCTAAAACTATTCAAATTAAAATTTTGAAGTGCTTTATCTGCATAAGGGAAGCAATTCTTAGGAGGCAAAGTGTCAGATCCGAGAGAGGTTTGAGATGAGGTGGTGGTCAGGGAATGACAAATGCATGGC